CCCCCCCCCCCCCCCCCCCCCCCCCCCCCCCCCCCCCCCCCCCCCCCCCCCCCCCCCCCCCCCCCCCCCCCCCCCCCCCCCCCCCCCCCCCCCCCCCCCCCCCCCCCCCCCCCCCCCCCCCCCCCCACTTATGCTTGTCAAAACGGGTAACAATGTATGTGTTGGAGCCCTACACGTCTGGTACCAATCACTGTAACTCGATCGAAGTTTTTTCATCAAGGCGATGCAATGATGGCCCATGCCACCACTTCGGTGTCCCGTTCAAGTTACAACTGGCCCATGTCATCATTTTCGCTCGCTCGGTACGAAAATTTTTCCAGAGAGAATCCGACAAAGTCGCTGTTACTCCGGTTGATCCTAACTCATATTCTCTCTGAACAGAGACTTTGTGAGCGTGAACGCTTCAAGCTTCGCGGGAGCCGAGACCACAAATAAAAGTTAACCGGATTCGACAGCGGGAAAATGAGAATTTAAGAGCTCCTTGAACACTTAAATTTTCCCAATTTCGTCTGGATACACTCCACATGAGTTCTACAGTATAGCAGCAGGAGTGATCGCAAGACTGAGCACACACCACTTTCTCTGATAAAGCGTTTTCATGCTGCTACGCCCAGTATGGCCATATTCCCTAACCATAATATACAAGCTTCCACCATTTGTGCATTGCCCAATCGAGCTTTCTCTCATTGTATTACATCATGCAGTAGCTAATAAGCGTTAGAAGACATTAGAAATTCCCGATACACCAACTCAGGTAAATTCATGAGGCAATGCCGCCGCCACAAATTTTCTTCAAAGAACAGAGCAATTTAAATCAACGCGTTAATCATAACATCAAACAACACCATTTTTAGTTTTCCGACACGCCGAAAACGATGGTTCTTATGCCGATTTACGAAATTTCCAAATAAGTCAGAAAACTGGAAAAAATCAGGAGGTGGCATATACCAATTGATGCGCACTGTATAGCAAGTTGAATTATTACAATACTACCTTACCTACCAGTAAAGCCCAATGAGCTCCGTGCCCATGTCGCAGAGCTGGTTCGTAATTTTTCGCACAGTCGTAAGCAACAAGCACAGCAGCACCAGAATCGATCAGATTGATTAATAAGGAAGCGTCCGGTAACGAGGGTCACCGAGGAGTGCATTGGCCACAATGAGACCGCCAACTGACGGAGCCATTCCGCTGAAAATAGAAATTTTGAATCGTTTCCACAGCCACCAAGATTGCTTGAATGCAAGGCTCTGCGAGTAAACCTATCAGCGGATTTTGTTTTTTGTGTTTTTTAAAGTTTTATTTAAAATTCTTATATTATTTTTTTAGATTTATCTATGATATTGTGTGCAGAATCGAAATATCTTATACTCTGGCGACAGCGTGCACCATGTGTGGCCCACATGACGTTGTCAATCCATTTTTTCGCGTATGCGCAGCTTCTTCCAATTCCTTTATATTCACTGCATAAATCATACCATAACATAAGTATGTATAAGCGGCGGTGTCCAAACCATGGAAGATGTACAGTGCGTACCAAAAGAATGTGGACACCCTAAAATTTTCCATTCTCTTAAAAAACTGTTGACTTCTGCACCATGCGACCACCACCATTCTAATTTCTCGTATGCGAAAACCTTAGAATTTCTCATTTCTCACCAATTTACATGCAGCTTTATTTTCATTTTTTAAATTTTTTCTTTGTTTTAATGGATGGAAAAACCTTGTGTCACTGCACCCCTGTGTCAAAAGTATGTGGACACTTTTTGAAAAATGGCAATATCTTCAGAATCTAAAATTGGTAGGCCTACCAAGGCTACTGCAACACGGTTGCACTTTCGTTGAAGGGCCTACTAGTGCACACACAAAGCAGCACAAGAAAGCATAAAAGTTTAAAACTACACAAGCTGGCTGAGCTAGTGCACGTTTCATTGCAGGACAACCAATCAGAAAAAGAGAAGCACGGAACATCACAATCACTTTTCGACAAGCCGCTTAATTGAACCCCATTGATCCTAACGTGTAGTGCTTATCAAATGGCTCCCAGACAATACCTAACCATTTGGGCGCGGCCGCGGCGAACGCGGCCGAGTTGATAGGTGCCCGCGAACTCAGCACAGCACAGTTCGCGGGCACCTCGAGTGCGTTTTCAACGGTTCGCGGGCACAATCGACTCGGCCGCGTTCGCCGCGGCCGCGCCCAAATGGTTAGGTATTGTCTGGGAGCCAAAGACTATTGAAAAGCTCTGGAAAATCTAGTCGATCATGTGAAGCTTGCTAACCTGAGAACATCTCCCCCTTATTGGTGAATCCTAGCTTCTTGGCAGTATCAAATATTTCCGAAGTGCTCTTTTTTTCCAAGTCAAGAAGCTGCGCCGCCATAGAAAGTGCAACCAACCCACATCTGAAAATATCATCTAATATATTGGGTTGGAAAGAAAGTCCTGCAACACTTTTTCAAATTTTTGATTTTAATTTTATCTTTTTTGGTTACAACTCCTGACCGGTCTTATATCTACCATGAGTCTCCAACGCTCAGAAAATTTCTTGATGCTCCTTTGCCAAAACCCAGCGGAGTGCGGGTCGAGAAAGGAGGCGACCTCACTTTCGAGTTGGAGTTGATCGTCTAATTATTTCGTTATCAAGATGATGATTAAAGGTCCAGGATAGGTGCAGTCATTTACAGCTCGACCAGGGGAATACGCTAAGAGAGGTAAGAAATCTTGCCGCAACTCCAGAATTTCTTACCGGGCTCATTTCGGATCATGGTGATTCGCAATGTCATGAAAGAAATAATATTGTCGCGGTACGAGGGCTCTTGACGAGCTGCCTCGGCCAGCTTCTGGTAGTTCCGCAGCCTAGGCCTCTACCTACACAATGGTGCCCATAACGAAGAATTGTAGTGGAGCTTCCGTAAGAGCCCTACCTGTAATGGAGTGTGAGGGACGCTGCTGGCTTCTTATAAAAATATCAAAAGATCGAAAGCGCTGGTAAAGGTGAAACACGCTGTAGCGGTGAACGGCATGCCTATTGAAGCTATTGCAGATAGTGTCAGTCGTTGACACGAATCCATAGTTTTGGAGACATTTGTACTAGACAGTGACTCGGAGTACGGATTTACTAGTGGTCGAGGTTTTTTGAATTTTCTTGGATAACTACTGACTGCAGCACTTATATCCACCTCGTGGATTGAAGCCTCGAGAATGCTCTACCATTTGTTAGTCATAAATGTTACCTATGAATTTTTCAGAAAAAAAAGAAAATTTTAGAAAGAGTGTTGCAGAACTTTCTTTCCAACCTAATATTTATCAGAAGGCGTTTCTGTAGTGATTAGATACGTCGAAGATTGTGCTGCTATTAGCTATGCTCGATATCCAAAAGTTGGGGTAGGCGTGTCACCGGAAGTGACGTGCACTTGATAGAAGCTATGTGGATAAGCTGCTTCCAACATACATCGCTGATATCAGCAAAGCATGCTGGCAACAGCTTATCCACGCAACTTCTATCAAGTGCACGTCACTTCCGGTGACACACCTACCCCAACTCACGGATATCGACTGTAAGTTGGAGGGAAAAAGGTGGGTAAACCACGCAGCATGTGACAAAAGTTGAAGTGTGTGATATCAGGGTGAGTGGCTCACTCACCTCTGAACCCTCCTTTCTCCAAGGGCTTAGTCCTGATGATAGTGATCAACCAATGCAAGGGCGCAGACAAGCAGAAAATGGGCGCCAAATCGCAGGCCTCAAAAATAAATGTCTTATTCGTAATTAGGACACCAAATAACTTCTATGTAAAAGTTTCACACCGATTTCGGTGAAAACAGCCGTGGCGTCAAAATGACACCAACATCAAAAATGAATGTGGTATTCGTAATCAGGGCATCGAAGTACTCCTAATAGGCAAAGTTTCGACGAAAAATAAAATTTCGAGTTCTTCGGGGCAGTAAATGGTGGAAATGGAGCCAATTTTTTGCAAAAAAAAAAAGCTCTATAAGAAGGTAAGAACCAAGCGCCGTTTCTTTCACACATAATACAAGAAGTGACATAATAACGATAACTAAGGTAAGAAAAAAAAAAACTTACTGCGGTCCATTTTGAATGATGGGCTGAACTGGTAGTATTCTCAATTGAGCTCCTGGTAAGGGCATCGATGTAGCTTCAGCATTCTGAGCATGTCGGGACAGCACTTCCTCTATCCGCAAACGAACCAAACCAAAAGTTGAACCTAGCCTGTCAGCCCATCCCATGATCTCGTGGTTTTTTCTGTGATGTCAGCTAGCGCATCTGCCAAGAATTTTGACACTAGAATTCATGTTTTTCCAAAATATTAATTGGATATTACTGGCCGTCTCAAGGGAACATTTGATCGATTAACAAATAAACGAATCATTGAACAGTCTCGTCCTTGGAGTGCCTAGCCTGACTTGAAAGAATAACGCGCTCCGCTCAAACTGATCTGCAGGACAACGGGTACGGTAGCTAAATCCAATATCGCCTCCGCGTTGAATTCATTTTTGCTCGGTTGGTTTCGTCGTTCTGGTCTTCTGTGGTCGTTCACGGGAGATTTTCGATCAGTTTCAGAGCCTATCACGGTGATGAGAAGGCCAAGCGATCGTCGTAGTTATATCGCTCAGCCTTATTGAGCGTTCTTCTGAAAGGTAGGTTCAACGCCTAACTGGTTTTCTTTTTGCCCCTTCACCTCTGCGGACGTTTAATATCAAACCCTACTCTGCTTTGGGGATGGAGCAAATGTAGACTATCAAGAGGGT